GCAGACTAAGCTGAAGCCGAGCAAATGCATTGGATATTTACATAGTTTTGCATGCTCTTTATATCCGACTGACACCACAGTGATAAATAGCAATTCATAATCTAGGATGAACTCCGTCAACTATCTTGGAACCTTCTTTAGTCGACCCACATCCACAACTGCATTGGTAAACTGCGGCGCCTAACATTTCAAATTTGAAAGCTCAGTCGGTTTCGCGCATCCCAATCAGTTTATCAGTGTGTTTTCCTTACCTTGTTTTGTTGTTCCCCAGTCACTTTCCCGGTTTACTAAAACAAGGTTTCTAAGTCTCACTATTATCCGTATGTTTCTTCTATCAATATGAACGAGTTATTGTGACACTTTCAGACAACTNCCTGTGTGAAATTTGCGGAGAGGACTCTACCAGACCCTAACCACCTATTGTACGCAGAACTGACAAGCTGTCGTTCTCATCCCTCCACAAGCCCCCAATTCCGCCAAGTTTCATCTTGAATAAACGCTCACTGAAATTTACCTATACCCTATGTTGCACATTTACTAACAACCAGAGCGGGAAAAAAATAAACTTCTTAACCTTGGACTACGAAATTTCCCAAAGCTATCCGTAATTATTTTCCCCGTTATGCCCCCTGTGACAGTTGGCATGTATAGTTTTTTAACTGAAATGTAAGCTTCAGTGCTTATAAAAAGGTTGCACACAATACAAGACAATACAATACAATGAATGGTCTCGCACATGTCACTGGCTTTCGGAGACCATTGCAGCTGGTTGAGGAAAATTCCACAAAATGCAAAAACCCGCTAAGTCCTGAAGTGTCGGTGGTCCACTACAGCTAAGATAGTAGAATTGTCTACCTATTCGTGATTAACCACTCAAGGTGCCGTTCTTCCATCCACCACTGAGGCCAGTCAATTTGTGCGAAAAAATTCCGTTCATCACTCCAGGTAGCTTTGATGAATATAAACCATGTGGGTGAATTGGTTAAATGGAAATGGAAAATGAAAAACCGTCTGATCAGCTGCCTGGTGGCGTAGTGGGTAGCACGCTTGCGTTCTGCCCATGAAGTCCCGAGTTTGATACCCAGTCGGGTCGATGGATTGGCACTGCTGATGAGAC